CGCAGAACCACCCTGAACCCAGCCCCTGATGCTGCAGGGCCTCTGCCCAGCTCTCACTGCACCAGAAGCACTGGGAAGAGGGAAGGTGGAAGGGAAGGAACACTAAACTGCCTGGAGCCAAGGATGAAAGGGTGAATTGCCACCCCAGCTTGGAGGAATAACTGCACTTTATTGATGTGGGGTGAGCTGGGAATTTTCAGGGAGTGAATTCCATTGACACTGTTTGGTTTGTGCTGGCAATAACACTCCCATCATACCCACTCCAGTCTGCTTTCCTGGCTCATTTTGAGTGCAGGACTAACTCAAAAGGAGTTTGTGGGTACTTGTCTGGGGTTCAGCTGTGCCAGGAGCCCCTCCCAGAGGTCTCTGCCCTTATCTGCCTCCTCCCACCCTCCTGGAGCTTTAATCTGCTGCTGCAGCCCGGCAGGGCCCTGCACACCACAAAGGACCTGAGAGGAATTTTATTCCGAGCTTTTCCAATTTTATCATCCCCTGTCAGACACTAAAACCTCTTGCTGAGCACCAGAAGAAGAGAAGTTGACTGAGAGTTTTGGTTTTAGTGCCTTAAAGCAGAAGAGCCCAAGTTGAACCCCACATCACCCCTGTGGGGTCTGGAATGTCCAATAAAGCACAAAGAACAAGTGAAGCTCTTCTGTACCAAAAAAAAAAAAAAAGGGATTATTTGATATTTTTTTCCATGGGTTTGATATAAATTGTTTAAAAACCAATAAAAAATGTGGGGTTTGTGTAAGTGCCTGGTTGGAGGGCCCTGGCAGAGCTGAGGTGCCACTGTCCCAGCCCTTCCACAACAGCCCAGGCCAGCAGCTGCCAGAAACTTCATCAGGTGCAGAACAGATCTGATCCTTGGGATCACACAGATCCAACCCTTGGGATCACACAGGGAGCATCAGGTGTTCCCCCAACCCTTGGGATCACACAGGGTGCATCAGGTGTTCCCTTGGGGAGCAGATCCAACCCTTGGGATCACACAGATCCAACCCTTGGGATCACACAGGGTGCATCAGGTGTTCCCCCAACCCTTGGGATCACACAGGGTGCATCAGGTGTTCCCTTGGGGAGCAGATCCAACCCTTGGGATCACACAGGGTGCATCAGGTGTTCCCCCATCCCTTGGGATCACACAGGGTGCATCAGGTGTTCCCTTGGGGAGCAGATCCAACCCTTGGGATCACACAGGGTGCATCAGGTGTTCCCTTGGGGAACAGATCCAACCCTTGGGATCACACAGGGTGCATCAGGTGCTCCCTTGGGGAGCAGATCCAACCCTTGGGATCACACAGGGTGCATCAGGGGTTCCCTTGGGGAGCAGATCCAACCCTTGGGATTCCACTGATAAACCAAGGGAGCTCCAGGAAATCCTGACCCCTGCAGGAACTGCCAGGGCAGCACCAGCTCTGCTTTGGGCACCCACACTGAGGCTGGGCTGGGAACAAAGCTGACAAAAAGGAGCCACCAAACTCAGCCAGGGACAGAAATGAGGTTAAACCCCCCTGGGAATATCTGTGGGTGTTCCTGAATAAACCCTGCACTGGGCTTGTGGCAGGGAGGGTGGGGGTCAATCTTTTTACACAAACAATTAAAAAGCATTACTGGAAGTGACTCTGGGGTTGTTGTCACTGAGCCCTCCCTGTCCCTCCATCCTTGTCCCCAGTCCCTCTGCAGCTCTCCTGGAGCCCCTCCAGGCCCTGGCAGGGGCTCTGAGCTCTCCCTGCAGCTTCTCCTCTCCAGGTTGAGCATTCTCAGCTCTGCCAGCCTGGTTTGCTGTTCCAGTTCCCAGTCCAGGCACAAGCTCCTGGCACTGGGAGGAGTTCCAGGGATCAGTTCCAGCCCAGGCTCCTTCCTGACTTCCTAAAGAACCCAACAAACATTCCCAAAGGCTCCTAGGCAAGAAAGCTGGCAGGCCTGGAGCAAAGCCTGGCCTTACTGGGTGGCGCAGGCCCTGTGCCAAGGTGAGCTGCTGTGCAAAATTCACAGTTTTGTGCACCTGGGTTGATTTTCATTCTGGAATTGCCAGCAGTGAGCACCCCTGGGATGGAGATACTGCAGCTCCAAACTGGCCCCAGCTCCTGCCCCTGAGCAATTCCCACCCAGCCCAGCATTCCCACTCAGCTCTGGCACCTCTGCATGTGGGGAAGTTGTGAAAGCCTTGGGGGCCAGGGCAGAGGCAAATGCTGTAAAAAGCACAGAGAACAAACCACAGAGAACTCGTGAGAAGGACTCACCCCAGCAAATGGATCTGCAGGGACACTCCAGGGACATCAGACATCCTCAGCCTCACTTTCTGTTTCACTCCACTGAGATGAAACTGGATCTCAATAATTCATTAATGGAAACAGCCATAAAGTGTAAGAGAAATACATTTCAACTGAGACAACAGCAGCCCTAAAACCGGGTGTGAGTCACTCCTAGAATTTATTGAAACTTGAAATTATTACAAGCTTGGACTGTGAGCAATAAATCCATCCATACCTCACTTCCTTGTAAGCACAGAGGGAACAGTCAGGAAAACTGATTTATCAGCAAACAGCTGCCCCTGCAGACAGTGCCACTGGCAGGAGTAGCAAGACACTGCTCTGACTCATTTATTCTCCACATCAACTACACCTGGCATCAGTTTGTTGGAGTTTTTTTATTCTAATATCAGGAAATACATTAAATACCAACTGGTATCTCTTACACTGAGCAGCATGAAATTAATTCCAAGGACTGTGGTGCCAGCAAATGTCCTTTGTGCCAGAGCCATCACAAGTCAGGAATACTTTGCTTTGCCATGCACAACCTGCTGAGTGTAGGGACTCGCTTAAAAACCCATAACCTTTTCCCAAAAGAAGGAAAAAAAAATCTACTTTATTTTTACCTGAACAATAATATAAAATGTTTAAAATCAGCTCTGAGCCCAGCAGGGCTGGGCTGGCTCTGTCCTGGTTGCTCACTACTGTTCACAGAAGCCTGGACACGGGTGGAGCTGTGGAGCAGAAGCTGCAGGAGGAAGCTGGAGCCTGAGCAGGGGAGGCTTGGCAGCCTGCCCTTCCCTGGGAAAGGACAGATCCTGTCCTATGTACACATTCACGGGTGTGTCCTGGCACGGGAGGCCTTCAGACAGAGCCTGGAATTGTCTCAGTTCCACCAGGCCGGGAAGCAAACCAAGGACAAGGGACTGTGAGTTATCTACACACAAGAACCACGTGGCAGCTGTGGCCAAGGGAGCTCAGCCCCACAGCTCTTCTGTCCTCCCAAACTTGTAGATCAGGGTGCTGAGGGGGAAAAGAGAAAAGAAATAAAAATCAGACCACACATTGGGTGACTTTAACAGTATCCCTAAATCTTACCCTGTGCAAATCAACAGCCCAGCCATGAAGTTTTAGTCAGATCAGGATTTGGGGTTGGTGTTTATGTTTGGTTTCCCGTGCATGGCTGGAGCTGTGGGAGCCAGCTGAAGGCCAAACACAAAAACAGCCACTCTCACAGCCCTTCTGAAGGGAGGAAAAGCCTGGGAGTTGTGAAACCCAAGGAGTCCAGAGCAGCAAGCCTCACTCTGCTGCCTGGGAACCAGCTCAGCGTGACAGGATGTGCTGGGATAAAACCTAAACAATTCCATTTCTATGAACAAATCAGAAGGAATGGGAAGCCTGGGGTAGAGAATCAGACCCCAAAGGCCACATGTTGTGGCTGCCCCATGCTGGAGTGTCCCAGGCCAGGCTGGGCAGGGTTTGGAGCCACCTGGGATAGGGGAAGGTGTCCCTGCCCAGGTGGGGCTGGGTGGGATTTAGGGTCCCTTCCAACCCAAACCTTCTGGGATTCTAAATAAGAGTAAAAACTTCGGGCACAAATCTGCCTTCAGCAGCTTCCCTTCTCAATCCCAGAGGGGGTTTGGGAGCTGCTGTTTCCTGCAGGAATATCCTCATTTCCCAGAGCCCATGCAGGTCACTGCAAAGCACCTGGTGTGGGGAGGAAGGGAAAGGATCAGCCAGGAACTGACAGAAGAAAGGAGGTGAGGTGAAACTTCCAGCGACTCATCTTGGAACTGACACTGCTGAACACTTTCAGTGCCTTTTATTAATGCAACCCATGGGCTGCTAAATGCATTCTACAGCTAAAAGGAGTTACTAGAGACTCCACATCGATTTCCAACTGTCACATGATAGATTTAATAATATTATTTGAAATAAATCCAGTGTGCTGTTACAAAACACACCAGCATGCTCTCACAGAAATGAATTCTCACTCTTTAGAGCTGCAGGCTCAGCCAGTGAAGGGAAATTCAGGGAATATCAAGCACCAGAGACCTGAGCCACTGGTGTGAAACAGTCTGGAAAAGGGGAATGGGATCCCCCAGCTGGCTCTGCTGGGAGGGCAGCCAAGGGATTGCAGGGCAGAGGTGGCTGATGGCCATTGTCCAAACCCAAAATCCCTGGCAATCCCTCATGCAGAACTCTGTGCTTCCCTGGGCACCCACACCCAGGGGAGCAGAGACAGCTGCACCAACGAGGGAGGGAGCCAGGAGCCTGGCCAGGGCAAAGCAAACCTGGAATGTCAATGCATGGAAGCAGGAAAGTCCCTCTGCAAAGAGGGGAATCTGCCCAGGTCACTTACCTGAAAAATATTAATGCATTCTGGAAAAACACTGCTAATCCAGGGTACACATTAGTGTCTGCAGAGAGGAACAGAGGAAACACTCAGTGCTTTAGTTCTGGCAGGTGGGGTTAACTGGATATTCCATATTCCAGTTACTGGGAGCTGGGTTTAACAGGGTATTCCAATAACTGGGAGCTGGGTTTAACAGGGTATTCCAATAACTGGGAGCTGGGTTTAACAGGACATTCCATATCCCAGTCACTGGGAGCTGGATTTAACAGGGTATTCCATATTCCAGTAACTGGGAGCTGGGTTTAACAGGATATTCCAATTACTGGGAGCTGGGGTTAACAGGATATTCCATATCCCAGTCACTGGGAGCTGGGGTTAACAGGGTATTCCAATTACTGGGAGCTGGATTTAACAGGGTATTCCATGTTCCAGTTACTGGGAGCTGGGTTTAACAGGATATTCCAGTCACTGGGAGCTGGGTTTAACAGGGTATTCCATATTCCAGCTCCTGGGAGCTGGGTTTAACAGGATATTCCATATTCCAGTTACTGAAGCAGGGTTTAACAGGATATTCCATATTCCAGCCACTGGGAGCTGGGTTTAACACACTATTCCAATTACTGGGAGCTGGGTTTAACTGGATATTCCATATTCCAGTAACTGGGAGCTGGGTTTACCAGGATATTCCAGCTCCTGGGAGCTGGGTTTAACAGGATATTCCATATTCCAGTTACAGGGAGCTGGGGTTAACAGGATATTCCAGGAGCTGGGAGCTGGGTTTAACAGGGTATTCCACATTCCAGTTACTGGGAGCTGGGGTTAACGGGATATTCCAGCTCCTGGGAGCTGGGTTTACCAGGATATTCCAGTAACTGGGAGTTGGGTTTAACAGGACATTCCAGCCACTGGGAGTTGGGTTTAACAGGACATTCCAGCCACTGGGAGTTGGGTTTAACACACACTATTCCACTAACTGGGAACTGGGTTTACCAGGATATTCCAGCTCCTGGGAGCTGGACTTAACAGGGTATTCCATGTTCCAGTTACTGGGAGCTGGGTTTAACAGGGTATTCCAGCTCCTGGGAGCTGGATTTAACACACACTATTCCAATTACTGGGAGCTGGGTTTAACACACTATTCCACTAACTGGGGAACTGGGTTTACCAGGATATTCCAGCTCCTGGGAGCTGGGTTTAACACACTATTCCAGTGTCAATCTCNTTTTTATTTCTTTGTCACTCTTTCTATCAGTCTATTGCCTTCCTGGCAAGCTCAACTGGACTGCTTCTGATTCCTGTTCCTCTTTCTTTGTCACCATTTTTTGCCACTATTTTTATTTCTTTGTCACTATTCTTTGCCACTATTTTTATTTGTCACCATTTTTTTGCCACTCTTTTTATTTCTTTGTCACTCTTTCTATCAGTCTATTGCTTTCCTAGCAAACCCAGCCTGACTGCTCCTGCTCCTCTTTCTTTGTCAGTATTTTTGCCTCTGTTTCTATTTCTTTGTCACTATTTTTTTGCCACTATTTTTATTTCTTTTTCACTATTTTTTGCCACTATTTTTATTTCTTTGTCACTATTTTTGCCACTATTTTAATTTCTTTGTCACTCTTTCTATCAGTCTATTGCTTTCCTGGCAAACCCAGCCTGACTGCTCCTGCTTCCTGCTCCTCTGTCACTATTTTTTTGGCCACTGTTTTTATTTTTTTGTCACTATTTTTTGCCACTGTTTTTATTTCTTTATCACTTTTCCTATCAGTCTATTGCTTTCCTGCCTGATTGCTCCTGTTTCCTGCTCCTCTGTCACTATTTTTTTGGCCACTGTTTTTATTTCTTTATCACTCTTTCTATCAGTCTATTGCCTTCCTGGCAAGCTCAACTGGACTGCTTCTGATTCCTGTTCCTCTTTCTCTGTCACCATTTTTTGCCACTATTTTTATTTCTTTGTCACTCTTTCTATCAGTCTATTGCTTTCCTGGCAAACCCAGCCTGGCTGCTCTTGTTCCTCTTTCTTTGTCACTATTTTTTTGCCACTGTTTTTATTTCTTTGTCACCATTTTTTGCACTGTTTTTATTTCTTTGTCACTATTTTTTTGTGACTACTTTTATTCCTTTGTCACAATTTTTTCCCACTATTTTTATTTCTTTGCTACTATTTTTATTTCTTGGTCACCATTTTTGCCACTGTTTTTATTTCTTTGTCACTTTTTCTATCAGTCTATTGCTTTCCTGGCAAACCCAGCCTGACTGCTCCTGGTTCCTGCTCCTCTTTCTTGGTCACCATATTTTTTGCCACTCTTTTTATTTCTTTGTCAATCTTTCTGCCAGTCTTTTGCTTTCCTGGCAAACCCAGCCTGGCTGCTCCTGCTCCTCTTTCTTTGCCACTATTTTTATTTCCTTGTCACCATTTTT